GGTCATTATCGGGAATTTCGATGACTAAATAGCTCGCCTTATTTGAAATTACTCGATCTTTAACAAAAATGATTGCAGTTGTTGCTCTGTGAGCCCTCTTCACAGATTAGGGGGTCGTTTCCGACCAGTGCTTTGAAGAAATGATAAGATATTTGCGGGCGCATCCTGAAGTTGAAGTTCTGTTGGTTCGTGGCCTAGGTGTTGATGTCTTTCTTCTGTCCATCGTGGGCATTGAAGGAGGAAGTGCTCACTTGTTTCTTCGACTTCTTCGTTGCACTCAAGGCAGTTTGGGCTGTCTGCCTTCCCAAAACGATGGAGAGTTTGTTGGAGATATGGAAAACGGTTTAATCTCAGTTGGTGCAGAGTTATCTCGTCTTCTCTGGTTCTGTTCGTGTCGTGGGGGAGTGGTATGCCCTTTGTTGCCCTTCGGTGAAAATTTGTTTCTGGTGTTACTTGGTTGTAGTGTTCGGTTCTTAGTTCTTCTCTTTGTTGTTTCAGCTGTTCACGCACATCTTGGTTTGGTCCGATTCTGTCGAGTCTTTTCCTTGCTGTCCCTCGCCAATCTGGTCTCATACCGTCTTCTCCTTTCGACTTTAGTCTTGGTCTTCTTTCTCCCAGTCCTAGTCTGTGCAGGTAGTGGTCTTCTGGAAGTCTCTGGTACTTGTGAAGCAGTGTTGCTGCCTCCTCCTGAATCACCTGAGTTAAGGGTGGTAACCCGGCTTCGGCGCAAGTTTGGACTGCTGCGGAACCTCTTGGCGCTCCAGTAATCAACCTGGCCGCTTTGTTGTTGCATACTTCGAGTTTCGACAGATGTGTCTTGCTCAGAAAACTTCCCCAGACTCCGACGGCGTAAAGTCCTCCAGGTCTGGCGTAGCTTGTCCACAACTGTTTCAGCTCGACTCCTGTGAAGCCCCACTTTCTACCAGACAGCGCTTGTAAGATGTAAATGCGCTGATTGAGCTTCTTCTTCGCATAATCTGCTTGGAAGCCAAACCTCATCTGGCTGTCGAAGGTGACGCCCAACACGACAGGTCCTGGTTTCTTCACTCCGGTGTAAGGTGCTGTGATGTTGTCCAGCAGTACATCCGGTTGCGCTTTTCCTGCTGTCTCCCTTGGATCCAGGGAGACAATGAGCGCTTGCGTTTTGTCAACGCTGATCTCCATCTTGTTGTGTTTCGCCCAGTTTGTCACTGCGTCAAGGGCCGGTTGCATCTTTCCTGCTGCTTCTTCGGGAGTGTCTCCTTCGGTGCACAACGTGAAATCATCCGCAAACTGGTCCACCTCTGTGTCCGGGGCAGCCTCGAGGACAGTCTTGGGCAGGAGCGCTGTGGCGAGACAAAAGAGGAGAGGCGACAAGGGACTCCCCTGTGGTACACCCTGTTTAAACACTCTGTACTTACTGACCCTGTTGTTCCATTTCACCGCAGCCCTTCTATCACTCAAGAAGGCTTTGAGCCAGCGGATGCAACGGCTAGAGAGGCCCCTCTGCGCGAGATCTCTGAGAAGGCCACTTTTCCAGATACGGTCAAAAGCAGCTTTGAAATCGATCGCAACCATGAGTGTGCGTTTCTTCTGTTGTAGATTGTCCATGGCGGTCTGCGCAATGTTGGCAATGGCGTCGAGTGTCGATCGTTTAGTCTGAAAGCCTGACTGCTCTGCTCGTCAGGGATGACATGTTCTTCTTCTGCCCATTTTTTGAGTCTTCTGGTCACAAGAGCTTCGGCAGTCTTGGAGATGCTACTCAGCAGGGAGAATGGCCTGTAACTCTTCACCTCGGAGGCAGGTTTTTCCTTTTTCAGGATGGGGATAATCACCGACCTGCAGAGTCGATATCGTCCTTGCAGTACAAAATCAAAAGATGATGTCTCAAACAAAAAGTGAAAACTTGAAATTCTGTTGAAAAAATTGTACGCTGAAAATAACTTTTAAACACTTCAATGCAAATGTTATCAATAACAATGCCCTAACACAGAAGGACAAGAGATACATAAATTCCATTTATTGACAAAACAAACTTGATCAAAAAATCCAGATCTATAGGTTCCTAAATGTACTGAAAAACTTTGCTCAAAATCTTGCAACCAAACAAACAGCATATCCTAAAGAAACAATTGGCTATAAACATCAGCAGGAACTTTTGCCATAAATTAAGACCAAAATTTAAAAAATAATAATTGAGAAAAGAAATAAAAATTGAATAAAAAAAAAATAAAAAATTGAATGAACTAAAAAATTGAATGCTCAAATATGAACTTGATACGTAAGGTTAAGAGAACGCGACTACATCAATAAAAACAACAATAAAAAAGACAAATGCCCTTAAAGAAAATAGAAAATCACCAAACTTCTCAAAATTTCAGCCAGAAAAAAAAACACACTAATGAATCGCCGCATATCTTTGTTGACAAAACAGTCAAGACCAATTTGACCTGTTTTTCGAAACAAAATTTGACACAAGAAAAACAATACGCTTTACCATGAAGTTGAGTCAACTTCAAATAAAATTGATCAATCCTAAACGCACCAAAAACCTAAAACCAATTCCACGCACTTATCCTTTTAAAAAATAGATAAGACCCCTTGCGCCCGAAAAAACTGAAAATTGAATACAATTTTTTCAAGTGCAAATAAAATTTCTTTTCTAACAATTTTTACCCTCTGAGAGATTAAACAAAAGCACTGAAAAATCTACCAAAAATTACAAGGCCAGTAAGCCGGCAAAAATTGGGACAAAATCATTAATCTGACAAAAAATCTACCTATAAGTATCCAAGAAAATCCATAACAACAAAACTCGGTGCTGGCTTCAAGAATCAAACAAGGATTTTCCACATTGACGCACAAAACCATCTTAACAATTGAAAAAAAAAACATTGGTTCCAAGATCGGTTTGAAAATGAAAGAAATCAAAAACTGTCTTTCAGTGAAGTGCACAAAGGTTCGATTTATCTATGAAGGCAGTCGTTATAAATTCGGAAAATTAGTTATTTGTGACGACGAATTTATGGCAATCCTCAAATCAAGCGACAAGAACAGACAAACCCGTAAACAAAGTATTCGGAAAACTAATTTGACAAACAACAATGGCAAAAATATCTTATGCAAAAAATAAAGAATTTAAGCGATAATTTTTTCCCACATCCGCGCAATTGACAGAACTTTTGAAATGGCTAAAAATATGCAGGTAGGCTGATTCAAGATTAGTTTCTAATTGTTTTCAATTATTTAGATTCCGAATCACGACCAATAATGCTTTGATATAATACCACATTTGAACTCTTACGAGCTTTCCTTAAGGCAGTCAAATTGACTGAAAAAGAAACGAATCAGAAAACACCGCGAGTGGTCGAGAGTAAATCCTGATGTTCCACGACAAATGACATTGTTCTTATAATAAATGCCACGTTCACCGTACGTCTATCTAAGTAGTACAAGGTGAGTCACTTCCATCGACAGAGTTCATCATCATTGCCGCCTTATCCCGTTCAAACGGGGTCGGCGGGGCACTCCTGAATCTTCGAGCGCCAGAGTTTGACAGAGAAGTTCCATCGACATAGAATTCGCATAATTGCATATATTTAGACGAGCCAAACTAACTCGACTAGCGCATGACTCGCATCTACGGTGCTTCGAATAGATCGTTGAACGTTAAAAAATAGCCCCCTAAAACTTGTACAAAAACAGTGATATTCAAGTGACCCTAATTTAATGCAACCGTGAAGATAAACTGGGCTCATCTATCAGGAAGTTTTTTTCATAAAAACGCCATATCGCGAAAGCAAAATGATTTGAGCAGATTAAATAAGAGTGCAGATTTTCTATCCTATATTGTTCCCTGGTAGCTTCCCACCATAGGGTTAAGGACTTCAAGTTATATTACTTGTTTTTAAATCTACGTTTCTTTTTTTTTTGAAGTATTGAAAAAATCATGAGAAATGCCATATATCTAAAACAAAAAAAACGAACAGAAAAAATTATAGGCCCTGACAGTACCACCTGATTTGGACACTGATAGTAAAAGACTAATATGAGAAGTTTAAGATCGGTTAGTTTTTTATTTCAAGTGTTTTGAAACAAAAAAGGAAAAATCAGAAAAAGATCACATTTGCAGCGAAAACTGCAATCCTTGAGTGTACCCCGACAGCACACCAATACAGGGTTGAGAGTTTAAATTTCCGTTAATTTTTGTTTTATATCTATAAGCTTGAGAAAAAGAACATTTTGTTCGATCAATTGTGAAACAAAAATTTGATAGTTTTACCTTTCGAATATAGAAAAAGTGTAGAGTTAAAGCACTCGCCCTGCAACAGATTTTAAAACGCCGACTTGAGTAAAAACTTCAACGCTTTCAATCTTTTGGCCATTTAACAGACCAACATAGCGATGTGCATTTAAAATTTTTCCTGTTCTAGATAACTGATGATGGCAGTATTGCCGATAACGTTTTTATTTCAACATTGATCCAACATAGCGACGTCTTAAACATGTGCCAAGTGAAAATTTTCAAGCATTACAATATACGATATAGCTTAAACGCGCAAAAAATCTTTCGTTAAACATGCAAAAATTATACGTTCAAAAATCTCAAATATGTCAACATAGGGACTTCTTTAAACGCCAATTAAATAATGTATAGATAGATAGATGCATAGATGAATGGATGATTTTTTAACTTCTGGTGGTCGTTTTTTTGACAAGATTCTACACTCCTATTAATGGCATTACCTCAAAGTACTGTAAGAACAACTACGCAGGAACACTTGATACTTAAATTCAAAGAATGCTTAATGCTGTAACACCCACTTCAGTTGTGTAAGGAGTCAAAAAATTAGTTATACATTACACTTGCTCTGTGAAGCCCATTTTCCTCCAATTTTTTTTCCTCTAGCAGGTGATTAAGCAACTACCCGCCGAGAGCTCTTAAGCTTTCAAACCTACGGTATGTAACCTAATACAAAATGATAACTACTAAGGAATTTAATTCTAAAAACATATCAACTTTGAGTTATCAAATTATTTAGTAAAAACTACTTGAGTTTGGAGGTATTTGAAAACAGAACTCAAACGCCCCTTCGCATCTACGTGCCACGGGCCTGCAGCCATATTGAGATGCACATTTTTGGTACTTCAACCCAATAAATAAGTCTTATCTTGTGAACTACACTCTCAAAATTTCCAAGCAGTTATTGTAACAGATTGCAATCCAGTCGGGCTGAGATGAAGCCCATTGAACTTGATTGACCTCTCCGTCAGCTGTGTAGGCAAGAATGGGATCTTCGATGTTTCTCGGCATCTGTCCGACGTCCCAGATCAGCGCCTGATGATCATCAGCTGCTGTGCAAATATGAATCGAAGAATGGGGCGCCCAAGCTAGACCATTGATGCATGCTCTGTGGTTTTTCAACGTCGCGACAGGTGTTCCTGGAACCCTGATATCCAAAATGATCAGATCGGAACTGTCCATTGTCATAGTTCCGATGTAGTTGTGATCCATCTTGTTGAAAGCAAGTCTAAGCAGCGGATTGTGTGCGCTGTCTTCATATATAATGGTTGAGTGCTCTAAATGCCGCAGATCAAACAACCGGACACTACCATCCGCGCCAACAGACGCAAAAATGTCTCGACCACTTCCAATTTTGCTGAAAGCTATGTCGTACACTTCTTTGTCATGTGCAATCAGTTGAGTTCTCACGTGACCTGTGAGCGCAGCTGAATGTTTGCCAATTACCTGTTTAGTTTCCAAGTTCCAAATTGTACAGGTTGTGTCGATGCTAGAAGTCCCAATCAGATTCGGATCCGTTTCATTCCAATCGAAAGATGTCAGGGGAGCGCAAAAATCGGAGTTTTTATTATTGTTCAATAAACATTCGCTTTTCACTGATGTAGCATCATCTCGCTCTGAACACTTCCAAATTCTCAAATAGTCGCCTGACGTCGCAAGAATATCTGGGTGCGCAGAACCCTCGTCTGGAATCCACATTATTTTCGTCGTTGGATATGGGTGATCAAAAGTCACCAAAGTTTTGAACTCTGATGTAGCTTCATCGAGTTGAACTATGTATACTTTATTTGCATATTCTTCTATAAATGATCCAAGGGCAAGTCGGAACTTCTTGTCTGGTCTATTACTCCAGTTCATACTGAAGAGGGCCAGAGGTGCCTCATACTTGTAGATTTCCTTTCTCTTCACGGTGTCGTTGTCTGCTGAGGTCATTTTAAAAACTGAAAAGAACAGCTATATATCTAGCAAAAAGTATCGTGAGGCGCAAATGAGTACAAAAATTCTTCATATCATTTGAGCTCAACATTATTTTTATCGATGTTTCATTACTTTTACGCGGCTTTCAATAAGCGGATTTTAGCAAAAGAAGAGTACAGGCCGGAAACTTAGCTACTTATCACTGCTATTGAAAGAAAATCTAGCCAATGAACAGTGAGAAAAGTGTCAATCGACTCAAAAAACCAAAAAAAAAATCAAACAATTTTTCCGTGAATATTTTTTGGCGCGAAGCTCAATGATTGACACACTTTTTTCGATGAACTAACCTAATTTGAGTACACTAGATAAACAAATAAAATTTTCATTCCTCTGAGAAACTCAAGGTCAATCACGTTGCAGATTCGTACTATGAGAATGTAGGTTGTCTTCTTTTCAGCAAATAATCTTGAATAGAAATAAATAAGATAGAAATCAAAAGTCAAACCAAAAAATTTGAAGTGGACCACTTTTCAAATTTTTCCCGAAAAAAAAAGAAAAAAAACTACCTGAAGAAGAAACACTTTTATTACTATACAGAATAGTCAAGGCATTAGTATAGAGAGTTGCAAAAAGTTCGGACAGACAGAAGTAATTAAAAAGAACAACTGTCTAGACATCAACGGAAATTAAAACTGAAATAAACATAACATCGAAATTCCATAAAGCAGAGTTTCGGGATCTACTTAACAATCCCCGCTTTCAAGAAAGGGGGGGGGGGGAGATTGTTAATTAGATTACTTGCAGCGAATTTTCGACCAATCAGAATGCAGCAAAAATCGAATTTAAATACAATTCTCTATTGCAAATCTACAGGGGTGGAGATTCTTTAGATGACACAATGGGGGGAGGGGGTGGAGATTGTTAAGTAGATCCCAATTTTGCTGAAAACCTATAACCCGACGAATTCAAGTGGAAACTGGACAAAGATTGGAAAGCGATTGGAATTGACGGTGAATTTCCATAGGTTCCAACATTCATAGGTTCCAAAAATCAGTCGCATAAGTTCCAAAATTTATCTTCTTGAATTCTGATTGGTTGAAATTTGAGCCAACGAATTTATGGATCGATTGTTTACTGTTCAACCAGCATTAACTCAAGCTGCAGAATAGTGACCGCCGCAGCCGCGCCAACGTGTTGCGAGCTTGCCACCAAAGGGTAGGACTCTATACGAAATTTAGGGTGCCGGACATCACGCCGACGGGACTTCAAGCCGAATCGTAAAATTAGGGACTTCAAGCCGAATAGTTCCTTAAAAACTCATGAAATATGATTAATTTGAAAACTTTTTTGAAGAATTTCTGAATTTCATGATCTTTCTTTACACCTTATTGGCGTTTTCATTAAATTAGGCCTCAAAATGATTTTCGGAAAGTTGAAAAGAAAAACATGGTTGCAGGCATTTTTCATGTTTATAATTTATGCATTTCAAAACCGGATGATTTTATAAGCGGATGCCAATCAGAAAGTTGTGCATTGTCATGATTAACGCTTATTATGGACTAAACATGCCTAAGTTTTTGAAAAGCAACGTTTTACAGATGATAAATTAGTGTTTTGAGGTGCTTATAAAGTTTTAATTTCGGCTTGAAGTCCCGTCGGCTTGTTGTCCTAGAACCCGAAATTTAGAGCCGGTTATCGCCGCGAAGCGGCGACGCGCGCGTAGCGCGCCCACCGGCGACCTTAAACCGAGACTCGGCTAATTTAGTCTTTTGGCCCATTGAAAAGATTTGGAACTTATGCGACTGCTTTTTTATTTTGGAAGCTATGGGACTGATTTTTTATTTTGGAACCTATGAATACGCACCGGAATTGACATGTACGAATTCGAACGGAGATAGGAAAAAAACACTTGAAATGAACACAAGAGGCACTTCCTAATGGTCATAAAAAACTTGACTTGACTATAACCACGGCGGGCAATTGCATCCGAAGCGTCGAACTGTTTTATAGTAAAATCTGCATGTTCTTCGCAGTATTCAAAAATTAGGCTAGCATAATTATTGGATAATCGACGATCTCGCATTTCGAACTTGGTCTGACAAAAAATTCAAGGTTGTTTGGCTTCAAATTTTGCATGCAAAAAAGCGTCGAAAAGCACTGATTGCTTATTTTAATTAATTCTGTCTGTCCGAACTTTTTGCTACTAATTATATAGTAATAGTGTAGAATTAAAATGAGTTACAAAATGAAATCAGTTACTCATTGGATAATCATTGGATACTCATTGTTTGAACAAATTGAGATAAAATCATTACATCAATAAAATCATCAGTTTAGGAATAAAAATAGAAGTAAAAAAATATTAGTACACCAGTAAAAATTGTAAAAAGGCAAAAACTATCAAAACACTGTCAAAGTGAACAAATAATTGAAAATCAACTAATCAAAACGGATTTCACGCCATAAATTTGTATGGGTACATATATGATTAGATTTTGTTTCAGTAGTGTAGAACTCATAGTGATTGTGTGGCAGACGTGTTGAACAACACCATTAGCAGCCACAGAACCAACAACTATCGCCCAGCCTGTGTAGAGGAGCTGACAAACTATTTGAAGTCGAAGAGGCAGCAGATATTGGCAATCAAGTATTGCAGAAGGGAAGTAACGACCGACTTGTTTAGTTAAGTCAAGTCAAGTTTTCATGACCATTAGGCAGTGCCTCTTGTGGTCATTTCAATTTTTTTTCCCCTCTCCGTTCGAATTCGTACATGTCAATTCCAATCGCTTTTCAATGTTTGTCCAGTTTCCACTTGAATTCGTCGATGGTCTTGCTTTGCACTGTTTCCTGTGGCCGATTGTTCCAGTCGAGAGCTGCCCTTATCGTGAAGAATTTTTTTCGCATTTCTAGATTTGCTTTGCGTACTACTACTTTACATGCGTACCTCTAGAATCCTTATCATTCCGCTCGAATAGTCCCGCAGTGGCATTCTTATCATAAAAACCATAGCAGATTATATACATTTCTATCAGTGTCCCTCTTTTCCTTTTGTATTCCAGCGATGATAGATTCAGTTCTTTAAGGCGTTCGTAATGGGATAGATATTTCATACCATTAACTAGACGCGTCGCTCTTCTTTGTACGTTTTCCAAGATCTTTTGATGCTTGATCAGCCTTGGGTGCCAGATTAAGTTCGCAAGTTCAAGGTGTGGCCGTATCAAGCATTTGTAGATGTTTAAAAATACTTGTTTCGTGACTTTAGTGAAGCTTTTCTTAATTACTGCTATCATACCGTTTGCCTTATTGGCTTTTTTAGTGATGTGTGTTTCGAATGTCAGTTTGTTGTCAAGCCAGATACCCAGGTCTTTTTCGAGTTGCACTTCTTTAATGTTTTCGCCAATGACTTTATAAATCCTCTTCATATCCAATTTCTTGGTTACTATTGTCATGTGAACACATTTGTCGATATTAAAGTACAAAAGACTTTGGCCTGACCAAATTTCTAGTGATTGTAAATATTCATGTATGCGTGTTACATCCGATTTTTCTTCGATTTGACGGTATAATTTCGCATTGTCAGCAAACAGATATATTTTTGACACCATTTTGTCCGGAATTGTGTTGATGTATATCAAAAACAGTACTGGGCCGAGTACTGAACTCTGAGGTATTCCACTTTTTACTGGCTGCCATGAGGATCTTGAGTCGTTAAATACCACTCTCTGTTGTCGTCCCGAAAGATAGTCTGTTATCGAGTTCAAGGTTCTTCCAGTTACTCCATACTGTCTAAGAACTCCGATTAGTCTTTTGTGTGGTACCGAATCGAAGGCTTTCTTGAAGTTCAAGTATATCATGTCGACATTTTCATGTTTGTCCATTGCCCTGGTGAAGTCATCAATTATTTTCAGGAGTTGTAAGTTCAGGAAATTAGTCAGCTACTCGGCACAGAAATGCTCGTTTTTCCAGCAACAGAACGGCTACTCTTCAAGAGCAAAGAAAACGACTCGGAGCAGCAAAAGAAACACTTGAAGTTGCACCAGAGTGCTGAAATGGAGCTGAAGTGTCTGCGATTGGTAGTGGCACACAAAAAAAGACCGTGAGGACTAATTTGCAAACTCAGGGGAAAACAAAACAGACCATCGCAGACAAGGAGGAAGGCATGAGCAGAAACTGAAGGCAGAGGAAGCGTCTGCGCTTCAGAAACAGGACTTTAAGCGAAACAAAAGCCGCAGCGAAGGCATATGGAACCAAAGTGAGACAAGGTTGTTCATAAAACGAGGAAATATCTCATAGAAAATGGGCTGCTGGCTGTGTCTTTTGAATGGTTTTTGCATCATGAGGAAAGAAACGTATGAATCAAAGCTGGAATCATTGTTGCAATCTGCTCGTAGTAGAAAAAGAGGCAACCACTGATGAGATTATTCTGAAAGTTGAGAAGGAACTTGAGGCAGCTCGTATGAGTTTTTTAACAAAACGCTTGCAAAATTTTTTGACAATTTAGAAACCAATACTAAAGATACCAGAGAAAATATTGAAAACATTGCTCTAGATCCGGATGAGCCCAGAATTGAAATCGCCTTACAGAAGCTGTACACCCAGGAGTCTCCGCCTGAAATTCAAAAAGCAACAATAAAAAAGCTTTTGAATATGGCGGGCAGCAAAGTACATTTCAAGTGTAATGACGCTTCCCTCGCTGTAATTCTGGCAAACCCGTGACTGAAAGAGTACGAGTTTGCTCTTATTTAAGAAATGCCGTTGGGAACCGAGTTGCAGCCAATGAATGACAAAAACGAATTGTGCCCATGTTGCCGCAGGAAAATAACATATAGATTGAAGGAGGTTGAATGCAAGAGTTGCCAAAACTGGTATCATCTAAAATGCGGAAAAAAATACGATGACGTGTTTGCATCAAAAACCGAGAAAGTCTGGTACTGTGAAAGCTGCTGCCGCAATAAGAACAAGGAGAAGGATACTCCACCAGAAAAAAATCTCCTCAGGTATGTGGATGACATTGTTAGA